ATATATATATGTATGTATATATATACATGTGTGTGTGTGTGTTTCTATTTGCATTTCCTCAACCTATGCCCCCCCCCCCCCACCACATGTGCATCTGCACTATGTCGTCCTCTTTAGGCTAGGACATGCCTTACACGAGTGCTGTGCCAGGGTTCCTTATGTTTGCCAGTAGGTAGCTTCCCTTGTAAGTTATATAGAAGTCTCAGCCTGAAGGTGTCTACATATTCTGCACCAGTGCTTCGCTGGGGTTCAGGTCGGTCCGCATTGCGCGGCAATCGATCAGATGTATCTAGGTCTCTCCATTAGTCTAATACTTCTGATTAATCTAGTACATCTGTAAGTCTCAGATCCCTACGCATGCCAGCGCCCACTCTGCACGTGCATGCTAGTAGACACCAATCAATATGTCCTATCTTTCTGCCACTTGCACTATTTTTCCTGTTCTATCGCTGATAGGTAATTGATAACGAGCTGTGATGTGTATATCCATCCACATATCCCCTCATCTTGCCTCCCATACTGACTCCCCTATCTAATTGTAGGCTTCCATGCCATGGTCAAGGATAGCAAGCTGGATGAGCTTAAGATGCTGTACCGGTTACTGTCGACGGTATGAGGTTTTTGCTGCACATGTACGTCGCCCGTGTGTATCTTTGGCTTAAGGGGTGGCTGAGAAGCTTTACCTCTGATGCGTAACTAGTCTGGCAACGATTCGCTTGATTGCGCTTGGTATTGCGTACAGTAGCTGAATGGCTCATGAGTGAGTGGGTGCCTTCTGCTGCCCAAGAGTCTTCGTTCTGCTGCTGCTGTTGTATGCTATTTTTAGAAATCTGCCAATCTATCTGTGTTGCGTGTTGTCGTATTAACCCTAAACTCCCTTAGTGAATGACACAAGTGGTCCTGTATCAGTACCCACTTCCGCTGTGGGTTGTTGTACCATGCTGTGTTCTTATGCAACCCTGGTGTGGCTAGTAGTGGCTGTGCGAGGGTCACATCATATTATACCGATCACAAGTGCACTACCTTTCAGTAACTGCAAGAGCCTAGTGCACCCCACTGGACTCCTGGTCCAAGCCCCATTGGCTCTGTCCCCTAACATCCTAGCGTACCACCCCCTAACATCCTAGCGTACCACCCCCTAACAGCTTAGCGTACCACCCCCTAACATCCTAGCGTACCACCCCCTAACATCCTAGCGTACCACCCCCTAACATCCTAGCGTACCACCCCCTAACATACTAACGTACCACCCCCTAGCATCCTAGCGTGCCTAACTGATTCTCTGTGTGTGTGTCTCTATCTCTCGCTCGCTTCCAACCGCCTAAACACACACATTAAACCCTGAACACTGAACCTTAAACCCTTAAACACTCAACCCTAAATACTCTACTCTAAACCCTAAAACCTTTGCTGTATGGTATGGCCAGGTGGATGCATTGGAGGACCTCAAGGTTCACTTCATCACTTACTTGAGGGTATGTATTGGTTTTCCATGTACAGAGTTTGGCAGTGAGAAATGTGCTGAATCATTGGATTGTCTTATCTGTCTGTACACTTTGTGCCCCAGGGCTATCGCCCCCGTCTCATAGGCCTGGCTTGAATTCTATCTCCGTGCGTTTGAGTGAAACGGTTATCAGTACAGATCTTGGTGGTGCGTAGTAGACTATACTTCTGACTTGAATCTCATCTCGTCAAATGCTGAGTGTGAGAGTGTTTTGCACGCTTGCTTGATGTTTGCCAGGGCTTGACTGACAGTCGGCACAGTCAGTGCAGCAGATCCGGTACCAACCGATCGCAATAGAGCCTCATCCACTTGTGCTGTGTTGTTTTGTGTGGCATAGTCCGAAGGACTCTTGCCACAGCACAGTGCACAGCTGTCGCCTTCCTTTGTGTTACTCTTTTGCACCCGCAGCACAATCTGATTATTTCCTCTTTAATTGTCCTGTATTGCATCTCAGGCCGCCTGCAGTGAGATGGTGCTGGACGAGGCACGCGACAGTTCAATGGTCAGTCAGTTGATGTGACTGCTGAGTCGCAGCCTCATTTGTTTGTGTGACATTGCGCTGTGTGAATATATTGGGTGTGAGTGAGTGTGTGTGTGTGTGTGTGTGTGTATTGGTGGACCGGGTGGGATCTACGGCTTGTGTTTGCGCTAGATGAAGGTTCATATAACTGTAAAGGGTCTGTGTCTGTGTCGTGATAGTCTGCGTTTGTGCGTATGTGAGTGCGTGTAGTGTGTAAGGCATAAGGCTTTCCTCCGTAGTGTGTGCGTGGGTTGTACAGTGAGTGTGCAGGGATTACCCATTCCGTACGCGACGGCATTAGATCACACATACTGTGTACGTTGTGTGCGATTGTGTTATTGTGTGAAGATTAACGCGTGTTACTGTCTATCCATTGCATCTAATAACCCATCCGTTTGCGTTTGCCTGTTCAGGTGGTCGATCTATTGGTCTTACGCAGCAAAATAGATACCATTCTGGAGAAGTCCTTCGGCAACCAGGAGAAGCTGCGCAATGCCTGTAAAGACGCTTTCGAAGCCACCATCAACGCACGACCCAACAAACCAGCTGAGCTCGTGGGTGAGTGTTCGCTGTGTTGTGTTCTACTGGGGTGTGCGTTGTGTGTGTGTTATGTACAGCTTATGTGAGGGGGGGGGGGTGTTGTGAATAGCTTATGCAGGGGTGTGCGCTGTTGGTATGTATGGATGTATGTATGTATGTGCTGCTGGGTTATGCCGGATTGTGTATTGTATGAGTCCGATGGCACCCCTGTGTGAGTGTTCATTGGGTTTGTGGACATACACACAAGCTATCCTTGGAATCACTTCCGAATCACAAGCGCCGCAGCGCTTTCCCCTCAGGCGAATCGCATATACACAGTATTTAATCAACGAACCCATCGCTCACCACGCACTCTCGGCGAGGTGAGGTGTACCAGGAATCATTCAGATACACATACTTGTCGTAGGCCTAAGGTGCCTATAAGCTAGGCATGCAATGTGTACTTATCGTTGAATTCACACATACTGAGACAGGAGAGCCATTGAGTGTGTGTTGATGCTGGGTAGTACATACTGTGCACAGTCGCATGCTGTGGCTAATCCGCTTGCTTGTGTGACCACGCGATCTTTCAGCCAAATTCATAGACAGGAAACTACGCGCGGGATACAAGAACACGACCGAGGGGGAGCTAGACGAACTACTGGACGATGTGATGGCCTTGTTCCGGTTGATACATGTACGTGACTGGTAGATACGAGGGTTGTTGAGGATGTTAGTGGCCTATGCATGTTAGTGCTGCATATGTACGTGACTGGTAGATACGAGGGTTGTTGAGGATGTTAGTGGCTTATGCATGTTAGTGCTGCATACGTACGTGACTGGTAGATACGAGGGTTGTTGAGGATGTTAGTGGCTTATGCATGTTAGTGCTGCATATGTACGTGACTGGTAGATACGAGGGTTGTTGAGGATGTTAGTGGCTTGTGCATGTTAGTGCTGCATATGTACGTGACTGG